TCATACTTTCTTCAACTTTCTCATTGTTTGGGAGAACAGGTTTCAGTAACTTGGCCTCTTGCTTACGCAGTGCTTGCCATAATCAGCCTCATTTTTAGGCTTTTCCCCTTGATGGCCTTTTGTCTCTAGCTGTGCTTATGAGTCGCTTCCTTCGGTGCCCCATCCCCTAAAATCTCTGGGAGCCGTCTCAATTCACCTTTGTAATAGGGTTCTCAATCATTCTTGTGAACACCAGAAATCTCACCCTTACAGTTAAGAGCTAGGGTTTCCACTTTCAAGGAATATATATAGGCCTCCTCCTTCTCTTCTAAATCTGGACAAATCCATTTTCCATTTCTTCTTGCAAAAATTCAGGTAATTTTGAAATAAGTGCCTGAAGGCCTGAGCAAAAGGAGTAAAATAGAAAATGAAGATCAAACCAATCCAACCCAACCCAACCTGCTGTGAGTGTGAGAAAGTACAGCTGTAGTATTTAAGGCAATATATAACAGACTCGGTTTTCATACTTGGAACTTTCCAAAGCTTTTACTTAAGTATGGAGGAATAAGCTTCTATTTCGACTGCCTTGAAAAATTACTAAAATCAAAACAAGCAGAAGGGATGATTTTTTTCAAATAGATGGATTCAGTTAGGGCTCTACCCTGGTCTTTAAGGAGTCATAGTGAGCTGAAGTACATGGAGAGTTCTGGGGAGGAGGGGCACCAGTGCCACTTGCTGTGACAGAGATCTCTGGTAGGAAAATGGGGCTTCAGTGGGAATTATAATACTGGGGATAGATTAACACAAGACTGAAAACGATTCTCTCTCTCTCTCTCTCTCTCTCTCTCTCTCTCTCTCTGAGATAGGATCTTGCTGTGTAGTTCAAACTGTCCTTGAACTCACCATATCGATCAGGCTAGCCTCAAATTTGTGGCAATCTTCCTCGCCTCAGTCTCCTCAGTACTGGGATTACAGGTATGCACCACCATTCCTGGCTGACCATTCTTATTTTTTTAATAAAGAGATGCATTAGTGCCTTAGTAACTTTTTTCATTGCAGACACAAAATATCTGATGCCAAAAGTTAAGAAAAGAAGTATTTATTTGGCTCACAGTTTGTACAAGTTTCAGTCCACAGTCATACCTGGTTCCAAGATAGAGTCACATGGCAGAGTACCATAACAGAGAAGAAACAGTTCATGGTGAGAAGAAGGTATCAAAGCAAACAAAAGACCTTAGGAGCTTTTTTCTTCCCCTGTTATACTCTATTTAGGCTACTGGAATTAAGGTGAGGCCAAACCAATCAGTGGGCTGATTTAGTAATCAAACACAGAAAATCCCAGAATCATACACTCTATACCCAGCCACCTCTGAAAAAGTCCCATCTATGACCACATGAGGCTTTGGGGAGATATCTAAACACAAGCCATAACAAATAGGAATCCTGTTAATTATGAGAAAAATTCATCTGTCTTTCACAGCAGATTAGAAAAAGCTTTCCACAAATATAGAAACTTAGATTCAGCTTCCAGGGAGAAACCATCACAGGATGTACAAGTAAACAAACTCAATTCCTAATAGCTGCAAAAGTGGCTTACTATGTTTGAACTTCTTTCCCTAGAAAACCCACCTTAGATATATTGCCATGATTAGGGTAGAGGGAAATGCTAGTCAGAGCTTCTTTACTCTTGCTTTGACATGTCAATTCTAAGATCAAGTGTTCAAACATGAGTTGTACATTGTCCCACAGAGTCCCACTCCCTTACTACAAAGGGATTTACTATTAGAACTGGAGGCGGTTCTCCAATTCTGGCAAAGGCATTAGGAATAAAATTAGGAATAAGGTCTCTATTCTTGATGGAGACCTTAGTCTTCCAGAAAGATCCAAAGGACCAAACAGACTCTAAAGAAAACTGACTAATAAACATTGCCACGAGACTTCTGAGTCTTGGCTCCAGTTATTGGCAGCAGACCTCATAAGGATTCAAAACACTTAAAAATTGGGCTAAACATGGTTTCATTTAAAATGTTTTGTGGAAGATCTTTTGTATCTTCTGATATGGTAGTGCGCCCAGATGTCACAAGGTTTTACAATAATTTATTAGCCTAAACCAAATACAACAATCTATCCAACAAAATCCTGCCAGTTTTTGAACGAGAGAGACCACTTTGTATCTGCCCTAGAGACCAAGTATTTGTTAAAGCTTGAAAAGAGGAACTCCTGTGGACCAATTAAAACCCAAATGGATAAATAAGACACATGTGTAAACATTGCTTCATTAGTGTGAGAAGCTGAAAGAAAGAAAATATGGATACGTGCATGTATATGTACATATATGTCTTCTCTCTCTGAACTATTTCATGTATCCTGTTCCTTGTCATATTTGGCTCCTGCTGCCTCAAATTAATAGCAAATTTGTCCATTCAGTGTTTCAGATGATGGTCCAAAGTATAAGCTGTGACTTTCCTGAGAAATTCATCTAGCTTTTTCCCTTTGAACAGGTAGTTCAACAATTCCTGGGATACAGGCAGTAACTGTTTTTTCTTTGTCTTCTGACAGGTTCTTACCAGCCTGGCCAGTAAGTGTCAATATCCCAAGGCAGTCAGAGAGTGTATAATACCAAGTAGGAAGGAACTATAGCCCCTTTCAGCAGGAAGCAGCTGTAATAAGAAAGAGACCTCCACTCCCTCAGCATTCCATAAAAAATTATAAAGATTGTATCTGTCAGTGGGAAAATGAAGGACGAGACTCTAGGCTTGACTCCTGAGCACTGTACACAGAACCAATGAAAAAGTGTTATTTTCAATCTCTCATTTGAATCTGGTGCTATCTGTAGGACCAATCAGAAAAGTGCTATTTTTAATTCTTCATACACACCTTGTGGAAGCTGAATGACTCTTTTGATAGGGCAGTTTAAATCTGGAGCAAGGCCAAGTGAGGTTTTGGTAGGACAACTATCCTCACATCTTATTTGCATGAAGGAGAAAACAATCTGAGAATTTCAAACAGAAAATATCCATTTCCCTTATCCTCAGGATCTCTGTGAGTCTGTTCGCCACTCCACTCTTGCTCTATAAAGCGTATTTCTTTTCCACCTGCGGTAAATGTACAGCCTTATTACCTTGAAGAAAGAGGAGATGAGGGAGAAGAAGGAGAAGAGCTAGGAGCAGGAAGGGTGGGAGGAAAAAAACAGGAAGAAGAAGAGAAGAGGAGGGAAAGGGCAAGAAGAGAGGAAAAGAAAGAAAAAGGAAGAAAGAGGGAGAAGAAAAAACCAAGCCTGTGCTGTGGTACACTCCTGTAATCCCAGCACTCAGGAGGCTACGGCAGGAGCATCACCACAAATTTGAGGCCAGCATAGGCTACACAGTGAGTCCAAGGCCAGTCTGAACTACACGGTGAGTCTCTGTCCCTTCTCAAAAAAGGTAAAAACAAAGAACAAAAATAAAACTAAAGGAACCAGCTCACTTGTTTCCCCTTTAAACTCTGGTTCTTAGCCTGAGCCCACTCAATTGATTTTCACAATGCCAACCCTCTTTTCAGTGGTGGTCAGTTGCCTCTCTGAGACAGTGGTAAGGGCATCCTTAAATCATGACTTTCTTTGCTTCCCAGGTGGTCCTTCTTTTCTCAGGGTCTTCTTGCTTTCTAGCATCTGAAAAGTTGTATTTTTACCACGGTTGATAATGACAATAAAGTTCTGGTCACAAAACATAGTCATTCATTTCATGAAAATCAGGGGACAGCTCTGATAAATAAGTGAGATTTATCACTCCAAAACTCTGAAGTTTAGAACCAATCCCCACTTCCAGTAAGGTCATTTAAGCAAAAGAAAAATTTGGAGGCCAAATATCTCATAAAAATTATTATAGGCAGCTAAATTAGATAAAAATTAATGTGCAATCAGAGAGGGATTGGATCTATAAGGAAGTTAGCAAAGATAAAAACGCATCAAAATTGTGCTGGAGGTGACTCTGAAGAAGGCCAGGCCTCAGGTTGCAGACTAACAGCCAAGGCTTTGAACCTTCGTAGGAATAAACACCAACAGGAGACTATACTGTACATTAGCACTACCTGGTCCAGTGGGTGCCAGTAAACATCACACTTTAAAAGTACATAACCCGACCATCTAGATCCATACTTCCCTCCCTTCGTAAGAATGCTTTTGTTTATTCCCTATACCCATGCTACCTGACTCATTTCCCTATTGGATCAATATTAGCTAAGTGACTATACTTGTAACCCTGTAGGTTGCTTGTAATTTAAACCATGTGATTTTGCTGCATAAATTACAAAGAGCCTCAGTGACGACCAACTCAGGACTCTGCCTGGAAATCCAGGAGCTGTACTTACTTCCAGTAAAACTCTCCCCATGTCCTCCTTTGGTTCTTGACTTAATTCCTCGATGTTGTGACACCCCAAACTCAGCACATCTGACAGATTGAGAGGTTTTTCTTTCCCCATATCAAAATGACTTTCAAGAACCTCAGACACCATGATGAAATGATTTTGGCTAGTATCAATTATAAATTTTAGGAAATTACTCATGAATTCTGAGTATCAGTCCACTGCTTTCTTCTCAATAGGCTGAATACTATAATAGAACCCAACCTCAAAGCCTTTTCTGAAATAGATCCAGGATCAGATTGCTAATGCCTGTCTATGATAAAGGCTGCTTTCCACACTCTTTTGTGACTTTATTCCTGTTCGCTCTGTTACTCTTGCTGACTTTTCAGGGAGCTGAAATGCTGGGAAGGACTCAGTTTATGAAACAGTCGATGAGACCACTGCCAAGAAGTGCTTGCTCAACTCTCCTTCAACAGCAGGGGAATCTCCCTTTCCTTTCTGGAGGGGTGGGGGGAAGCTTAAGAACTATTCAAAATGAAGCTGAATCCTTCTCACCAACCCCAGCCCACACCTCCCAGCAAATGAACTTGAAAAAAACCCTGGTTTGAAAAATTACCGCAAACTATATTGTCATCAAAAAAAAATACTTCCTATATTTGAGATCAGAGATCAGAGTGGTAGCACAATTTCCTGGCTGAACATATCAGTGTGATACTTAAAGAGAGCAACTCCTGACTGTCACAGGCACTGGATGGACGGGCCAAGATGACAGCCCAGGAGGACTAATCCTTTCCTTTGGCATCCTCCCAACACCATGAGAGAAAGAGGCTGACACAGCCAGCATACTACAGAGAACATTTCCTTTTTATTGCCCTAAACTAATCCCAAGTGCCAGGAAGATGGAGCCACGCTTGCTGACATGGGGATTATTCACATTCATCATGGTACCCGGCTGCATGACAGGTAAGGAGCCATGAACTGCTCTCTGAATCTTGGGAAGGCTCATGAATGCTAGCCCTTCCCAGGCTCAGAATCACAAGTGGCCCAAAGAAAACTCTGAGAAGGCAGTTGAATCTTGCCTGTGGCTTACTGGAGCCTCATTTTATGCCTCAGTGGCCTCAATCTATAAAGCACTGAACCAGGCGCTCATATTATACACAGCCTTGACAGTTAATCCAGGGAGGGACAGAGCTTAGTTTTCTAAGGATCCCCTCTCCTGCCTTAAACTGCAATGTAATACTAAAAAACTCTTAAGGGTCTAAGTCCTGGATAATTTGCCTGAGACACCGTAACTCATATATCAAACACTAATATATTTAACATTTCAGAAAAAATTTAGCTTTAAGGGTAGATTCTTTGCTTTTATGTCCTCTAAAAGTAATACCTAGAAAATTTCTTACAAGTGCAACTTTATAGAAATTTTAGAAAATATCAATGTACTTCAGAACATTACTTTTCTACATCTCTCTGTATATATATGATGAGAATGTGTATAACGTGTCTTTACATGAAGATTTTTATCATCCTGAGTTTTCTCAGTTTTTTAAAGAAAAACCACCAGTTTAATACCTCAAACCATCCTTCCTGATTGTGCATTTTCTAATATCATCCCTTGATGAGATCCAGAAAAATAGATAAGATATAAAAGTATGTATTTATGAAAGTCTATGATTTCATGTCCTTAATTTCTAGAAGTAGACTCCTGATTGGCTGCAGGGGAAAAAAAAGTGTTAAAAAGAGAAAAAATGGCTATCACAGCTTTCCTCACAATTGCCCGCCCTGCTTTCTCCTGGATGTTCTCTTATCTTGTTCTTTGCCCATTTATTCAGTCCAAGCTTGCTCTGCAGAGCCAGTTTCTTTCCTCACTCTTAAATTTTACTTTCTTGAATAAACCTTGTCACCGTTAAAAAAAAAAAAAAAAAAAAAAAAGAAAGAGAGAAAGGTGCATGCCAAAGTTTGGTTGTTTGGGGGAAGTGGGTAAATTAAGTTGGGCTCTATTCTGACCCACTTACAGGAACTTGCTCACTTTGGAGTTACAGGGGTAACAGTTTTAGGAAGACTTGTAATGTAATTTTTTCCTTAGTAGGTCTTTGGCAGACTGGTCCAAACCAGGACAACAAAAATTTTACATGAATTATTTCCTATCTCTGGGAACAAATTTCAAGCAAATTTGTGTTATTACCAGCCATAAATGATTTATCCAGGGGTCAGAATGATCTTGGAGACAGTGGAGCAAGTGAAATATCATGTGTTTACTTTCTCCCACTCAATTCCACAAAACTCTACAAATACTTCTTATGTCCCTTTCCAACATTGTAGGAAATAGAAACATGCATATAACATGGTGCTGATCCTTAAGAAACTTACTACCTCACCAGGAGAAGAAAGGCATAGGTAGACTAACAGTACTGCAAGCTATGATGAGGTCTGTAGCACTGTGGGGTTGTCAGGGAAGGCTTTGGGAAGGTGACATATGAACTGGGTTCTGAGGGACTGGGATATTTCTGCAAGTAGAGACCCCAGATAGACATACAAAGACTCAGAAAAATGTTAGGGAACAACAAGTGGCCTGCCATGTTCTCCACACTAAACAGGGATATGGGGATATTGTGAATTAAGACTTAAAAATAAAACTAGTTTTGGTGGCACACACCTGTAATCCCAGTACTTGGAGTACATAGTGAGGTCAAGGCTGGCTCAAACTACATAGCAAAATCCTGTCTCAAAAAACCCAAAACAGCAAAACAAGACTGGAAGCATAGGATGGAGTCAAAGAAATAACGCAAAGCCTTCAGTACCAAGTTGAAATTTTAAAAATTCATTTGTTAAGCAATAAAGAACCACTAGAAACTTTAAAAAAAATATGATTCCTAAGTACCTTCCATGTGACAGATATATAATTTTTATCCTGTTCTTTATAACCACTCCACAGTGTGGATACCCTGAGACCCTAGATGAAGAAGAACCCAAAACTCAGAATCACACAGGCCCCGACGGTACCAGAGCTTCTTGACTTGTGTCCTTTGTGTTCACTGCCAACAGGGTCAGAGGTGATTCTGGCATAGAGTGGAGGGAGATCAAATGCTGGGAAACAGGTTATGAATATAAAATAGCCCAGAGGCCAAAGAGAATGAAATGGATTGAATTTCTGGGACCCTACAATAGATGATGCAGGAATCACTCCAGGGGAAGAAAAAACCCCAGACTTTTTCTTCCAGGAGGAATCTAATCTTAAAATACTAATTCTTTTTTAATCCTTAGGGAGAGGAGTCCTCTAAACAAAATCAAATGAACAGTCAAGAGATACAATTTCTAGCTGACTCATAAGGCAGATTTTTCATTCTGAAAATTTCCAAAGCCACCATTTAAAATTGTGATGGTGTCCAGGGGATGAATTAGTCAACCTGGGTGTTTTTATTCTCTATATTACTGGGTCCTGGGATGTGGTTAAAAAGAGAATTCTCCTGATGTTGTCAACACAGCACGTTATTAAAGGCATCTTTCTCAGAATTGTGGAAATTCTGAGTTTTTACATGTCTCTTCATCATCTCTCTTTCATTCTAGGAATTCTGTGATCAATCTATATCCCTAAACCAAAAAAAAAAAAAAAAAAAAAAAAAAGAGCACAGAAACCATTATGGCAACATGTTTGTCTAATTATCCCTTCTTGTAAAGATTATTGCCCACACTAGAATTTCCCACCTTCAACTTTGCCATTACAACACAAAATGTTTTACCCTTCACATTTGATCTTGGAGTTGCTCTAGATACCCCCAAATTATTGTTACTGTCTTTTTTTTTTTCCATCTTCAAGCCAGACTTGAAGAGGTAGGATTTTGGTAAGCATTGGGAATACATTATAAAACAACGCCTACTTTATTTAAAACAGTGTCTTGAATATGCAGTTTGTTGTAGCATATGAACATATGCTCTCTTTTGGACTTTAGAACTAAAAAGAAAAGAATTGACTTTACTGTTCGGTACAAAACAACTGATTTCACTGATGCATCAGTTAGAGGTGCTAATAACTCATGACTGTAGTATGCTACAACTCCGCCATGCCACTCATCACAAAGACAGGGATTCTTAGAATTTATTTGGCTTAGTATTCTAAAATATTTTTAAAATTTAAAAAATTTTTTGAGATAGAATCTTACTATGCAGTCCAGGCTGGCTTTGAACACACTATGCAGCCTACTCTGGCCTCAAACTCACAGTCATCCTCCTGTCTCAGCCTCCCAAGTGCTGGAATTACAGGTGTGCACCACTATGACCACACCTTGGCATTCTAGGTACTGCTGTGTAATTTCTTGTGGAAGTCATTCATAAGCATAGACATTATTAAGGCAACCTACTCCTCAACACAGAGGTTATGCAAATTAATTCCCTATACCCTTTATTGTCCAATGATGAGTAGCAACTTTACAAATATACAGAATTCCTCTGGAAATGGGGTGTGTCATCTGAGATTTGTGAGGAATAGAATCAGGAGGAAAATTAACTTTGAAAGAAGAAGAAAATTGAATAAGGCTCTTTCTAGTAACATTGTTGGAGACCAAAGAGAAGAAATGCAAGAGTCATGTCAAATTGCTCCCTGTGAAGGAAAGTTGATCAAGAGATCTCAAAATTCTTTTCTAGTCCTATCACCCTATGTCAAGAATTCTCAAAAGAAAAAATTTCTACTTAAAAAGTAGTTTCAGCCAGGTATAGTGGCTCACTCCTATGATCCCTGTACTCAGGAGGCTAAGGCAGCAGGATTGCTATGAGTTCAAGGTCAACCTGGACTACTTGAAAAGACTCAACTCATCACATGCAAGCGCGCACACACACACACACACAGCCAAAGCAAAGCAAAAAATATTTTCATTTGAGGGTACTTTTGGAAGTGGAAATTTTTTCTAACTGAAGACATTCTCAGCCAAGGTCAGGGTTAAGAGATTGTGAGTGTCAACAGACCAAAGCCTGAAATCTCATTGTAGGTTATTTCCAGCTCTTAAAAGGTACTGCCCAACACTGCAACACGACCCATTGCTTCCGTATTGCTGCAGTGGTAGGTGTCAAGGCAAAACTACCACACAGATAGACCAACAGTACTGTTAGTCGTTTGCTTAGTAAAGATATTTCTGTCCTCGGTGTCTTTGTTTCTCACAGGAGAGATTTTACCTGAGTGGGAATCTGCCTCTCTTCTCTTTATTCAGAGCCATCCACTATGAGGAAAGGAGAAAGGACCTTAATTCATCTGTGAGCATGTTCAAGTAAAGACTGCATTAAAATTCAGGCCTTTTAAGTACTATCCCAATATTCCTTGCACATCTCTAGATAGATCTGAGGTGATATTCCTTTATTTATCCATTCCTGCATTAGAATTACAGAGATGAACAAGATTATAGTCTTTTACCTCAAATCGCTTACAGTTTAACAACGGGAAGAAACATCTGCTGAGCAGTTTCCATCTTGAAGACTGCCCAGGGAACATGATCTGTATTTGCAAGTGAGTTAATGTCCCATCAATGATTTCTCCATCATGTTTTCCAGTAAGTCACTCATTTAGGGGAAAATGATATTACAATTGTCTCTAGGAATTTTTGTTATTTCTCCTCTAAGATCCTTCAGATAGCTTTTGGCTACTTGACTGATCTTAATATATCCTGAAATTTATTTTCATCAATAAGAGTGCACAAATCCCACTGGGAAATGTTTTTGGAGTGCTGGTTCCCAACACCAGCTGCACATTACAGTGTGCATCTGGAACATGATAAAAGTGATAGTTCAGATTTACTGAAACCAATGAAGTCAGACTCTCTGGGGCAGAGAACCCAGAAATAACAGTGACACTTGTTGTAAGTTTCTCAAATGACTTAAAATGCAGTTAAGGTTGCATCCTATTACTTTAGGAAGACAAAGTGATGAGTCCCATGGTTCGCTGAGTCTCTTATTCCAGTTCTACTCATTGAGAACATAGA